TCCCCAGCCAGGGAGCCGAACGGGACCTACGTGACCCAGTCTCTTGGTTAGGCTTTTCATACCCTCCTGCCCGGTCTTCGTTTGACCGTGACCGTTTTCCAACCGATCCCTACCTCGGCAAACATCGCTCGCCGTGGCAACCTATCTGGTGACATGCATAGCACATGTCCCAACCAGCGTAATCTATGGAGGTCGAATACTTGCTCCAGTGGACGACCGCGATTACCTAAAACTCTACGCCTAACCTCAGCATTGCTCGTCCAGTTACCCCACCCGACCCGTGCAATGCTACGTAGACAGCGGTGTTTGAACACCGACTATCTATTTTTATCTTGTTCCCATAGTGGCCAAGTCTCAGTATCACAGAGCAGCACTGACCGAACTACTGCAGCATATACTCGGCCACTCACAGACAGCCGGATGTTGCGACGGCGCCACAGATGTCTCAGGTTGGTAAATGCGAACTGAGTCTTTTGTATGCGCGCCGACACTTCATTTATGACGCGTCCGCCAGGTGAGACATAGCTGCCCATATAGCAAAATTTCTCTACTTCCTCTACTACTTCCCAAGTCAGGGTGAGCTTGGGGGCTGGACCAACACAATCTTGTGACATTTTACACTTTGAAGGTGCAAAACGCATAACGCACATAGATACACTAGCACTCAAACGGTGGGTCGAACAGCTGTTTCGAGAATGAACATACACCACATTCAATCTCCACAATGATATCTTCCCTCTATCAATTTATTTTGTTGCTGATTTAAGAGGATTTGCCAAATTCATTTCTCAATCATATTACAACCTCGTTAGTGATATGGTGCACATACCGTAGTTATGTCATTTGCATACACATTCAAAGGCGAAGAAAATATTATGCTCAGTAAAGTTATGAGATTAACGGCTTCAATGGAAACCAGTGAAAGGATAAGAAAATTTGTTTTGTGTTTATCAAAATTCATTTGCATTCGACCGTGCATCTTACTCCCTGACCTGTTCCTCCATTACATGCGTAGTGAAATGGGCAACCACAATAGGTGTGCGCGCACTCAAAGTTGAGCGGTCATATCGCTCATCTGATGCAATGGACCGTACGACCCGGAACAGAAATCGATTTAGCATGGGGTTGTTGACTTAATACCGGCCGATCGATGCCAAAGATAACCAGCAAAAACTGAGTCCTGCCAAGTGAGCCCTAAGGAAACGAAGTAACTAGATAGACTGAAAGAATTTCTTTCCGGTGTCGTTTCACATCCGTCTTCTTTTCGTTTTCGTTTCCATTGTCATATCCCCCGGGAGTTGAGGATTAACGATTGTCTCATTCAAAATTCCTGCCCAGTACAACCAACCTAAAACAGGCGAGGTGCTAACACAAAAGGAATACGGTACAATGTGAGCGTGTGTGCGCTTAACTGGTACACCCTCATTTGAGCCAAAAACTGCAACACTTTCAGCTTCTTTGGATTTATAGCAATTAGAATATAGTAATGACTAGATGGCGAAAGGCAAAACGAGCGGGCAGTCATGCGTGCTGAGATAAAAAGAAACAACTATGGTGATGAAAGATAAATAGATGAAAAACATTGCAATAATAGACAACGCGTTCATTTAAGGGAATCGGGGGTTGTATTTTGACCTTAATGTAACAACAAAACTCCTTGCACGAAGGGAGAGACAACTGAATAAGCGAAGGGAAAGATTCAACAGACGCACAGTCTACTGCTCATTTACCAACTTAAGAGTTGAGTGTTCTCCATCGTGTTGATCATATTTGTCAGCTGCATTCCGTCTATTGAGAACTGACCAATATGTCAAATATTACCGAAGACTTTTCCCGTATCACCTGCGATACATGCAACTCAGGAAACTGCGCGTAACTGTGCACTGAAACCAACACCCCGAGGATTATCTCATCTCGGTTTCAACCCCCAAGTGTGACACAACCCAGGTTCGAGATTATAATTCAACAAAGGAATGCGATGTGGTGGGTTTTGCACCAGTTATCACACTGTATTTCTTAAATAATTACCCTGCTAACCATTATCTCTTACTTCTTTTTATTGAATAAACAGTGGCACAATTTGTTTTCCGGAAAGGTCGACGGTCAGTGGGAAGTTTGACAGGGAACACAAAAGAGTGGAAGACTTTGATTCACTCACTCATGAAGCCGAGACGTGACCTTTTTTATCATACCTTATAGTGTGACCAACAGTATGAGGTAGGAATTCAACCGTTGAGAGGACTTGCTGTTGGGTTCAGTAGCGGCGACCCTAACCCTAGGATTTGGAATGACCAACCACGTGAGGCTCCAATACCAGCAGCATCATACAGTGAAATACAATAAAGCGAACTTCGTTAATCGTTGCCAAGCTCAAAATACATATAAAGTAAGAAAGTGTGATAGATAAAGAGTGGACCAGTTTTAAAGACTGCAAAAGAACCTGAATCTCTATGGTTAACACATAGAGTATATGGTCTAACTGTGCACACAAATCTCAAGCGCTCTGACCTGATTAGTGCAGTTTTATAAGTGAAACGCAAACCGTGGTGCTTGTAAAAGGTGCACAGTTCGGTACAGTATTAAACGAAACGAAAATGGGAACGTAACGACTACCGTTTCTCTGACATTCTCCGCTGACTCCCACCGGTTGCAGTTGTTTAGATCCTAATCTGGAAGAAGGGGTACACCTAAATCACTCTGTGCATTTCCTCATGCCGCGTTTCCACATCATCCGTCGACCTCCTCATGATTTTCTCTACCGTGGAGCGGTAAGTGCAAACAGGGTGTTAGACGATTGCTCGGCACATGCAGCACGTGTCCTATCTGGCGAAGCCTACTAATCTGAATTCGGTATGATAACTTAATCCTCATTGGAACACACACACACAGCGGCTTATCTCGAGGTTACCTATCCGCTCGCTCTATCCTACTAGCACCAAACTACGCAAACATCCATGACCAAAAACTGCCAGCCGATGGATGTCTCTCACAAGATAACTTAGGGTAGCGGAGTCGTAAAGCCGTGAAGCTAAGACTGAAGTTAAGTAATGATGACAAGGTTCAAACCTTGGACTTTGCAGTTCGCTGCATGCACCACCGCCACCACCATCAGGATGGCGGTGTTTGAGATGGGTTCCTTAGGTCATCTAACGGTATGAAATTTCGTGAAAGAAAAGGGAGTCTGCAGTCCGTGTCGCAAGGGAGTGCGTGAAGCGAGCCCAAGTTCAAACTGAGATACGGTGCATCCAGGATATGGTAGAACAGCATTTGATAGCAGCTGGAACAAGATACTTTTTTCTCATCGACTAGTATATCAAGACAGTCAAGCCAAGCCTTCAGATCATTGCCATGATTCTGTTTATTCCCACTGAGTGAGTTTGTCGACGTTTAGAACACACGGTGAGGGGATAATTTTGGGCAAGCAACTTTGATAGTAGTTGTTTTCAAGTGAAAGAAAGTCACTTGCTATCGAAAGTTCTCCGAAGACTACTGAATCGAGTTTTGATTAGAAAGTTGACAAACACCTCAAAAGAAACATTTTTTTTAAATTTTCGTTGCTGTGAAACTAGCGTATAGCCAATATAAAAACATCAACAACTTTCCAGAAACAGGGAGAAGGGCAATCGCCTGCTAGATGATTATGTTAACCAGCTGACGCGCCATAAACAAGATATCATAGTTCAATTAAAACAGAAACAGAAGTCGATCCCATCAACTCGATTTTCAATTTAATGCCTGGGTCCGGAACGCAGAGAGCTAACGAAAAATGGCATTTAAGAGTGCAATATTTTTTCCCTCGAACTCGTCTGTGACAATGCAAAAATTCTGGTAGGGTATAATTGGAAAAATAATATCCGTCCGGAAACGAATGCCGGGTTCAGAAGCTAGACACCCTGGTGACTCCGAAACTAGATGAAAAATCATTTTCTCGTTTTGTTTAGATAAGCATATTTTATTCTTACATGCACTAGACAGTACGTATGGTTTTGGATAAGAGTTTCAACTACTAATCAAAGTTATAGTTACGACAGGGACACAAAAAACAAGCATTTCTAACGAGTCCAAAAAAGGACGAAACAGCTATGCGTGCTCTTTGTCAGCCATCACATAAACTGCAATTCAATCGTATATGGAAGGAAAAACTATACAGTTTTCTATTGATGACCAAAAAATCGACTCAGAAACTGAACACTGTGTTTAAACTAGGCCTAGGTGAAGATTATTGTGAGTTGCCACCGGGACTCGTACATGAAACGGTTGAACTTTTGAGATGCAGCTTATAGTTTGTTTCTTGTGCACTTTCACAGGAGAGATCGGGGTTTATGAAATGAAATATAGACTGTATATAGCACAGAGAAAATGACACAGGTATCATAATCAAGTGCTTTCTTTGTTACTCTCATACTTAAATATCGGCTCAGGTCATCGTTAAGTGCATCAAAATGACAGTTGCTTACTGAAGCGGAGGATGTAAAGATTCAGCAACATCATAAGCACCGATAACTTTTGTTTTACATCGTCTCTGCATAAAAAAATATAAACACGAGCGTTTTTTAACTTGTACGATCATCGGAAAATAATTATCATTCGTATGCTAACTGGCGCCCTGAGCTTTATTATTACACACGTGTGATAAACAGCGGACGGGGAAAGCCACAGTCGCGAAGACCTGCTGTTCAGCGATGGAAACCGGAAGCCTCAGTCCCGGGGCTTGCAGTGGTGAACCACAGAGGCGCCGTTAGGTTAGACGTGGTACTGAGCCGGAAGACAACAAAACTGTCTACCACCAAAGTCGGGTGGCGGTGGCGAGGCCCAAACGTTGGACCACAGGGTCCGACTAAGGTGAAATCGTTTCACGAATAACTAGAAAATGGGAAAGCTCAAAGAAATTGTTTAGCCGAGCAAGCCTAATGAGAATAATGCGCCTACCGATACAATAAGAAGGTTGAATTGGAGGAAAACAAACCCATAAAAGACCTTCAAAATGCAAANATACTTACCTATGACCAACAAGAATGATCGGAGGTGCCTCAGTCGGGTACATTGCGAAGATGATCTTTATTACATCTCTGAAATATTGACAGAAAATGAGCGAATATGGTGTACTTCGACAGGGTATCCACTGAAAGATCTTCATCATCTTGACAGCTGGTATCCCCATGACCACGCATATCCACGGCTAAACACTGACACTTTACTTGCTCGGTAATTGTAGCCTGTAGTAAAAAGAATCAGTCGCAGATAAGAGAAACATGGACAAAAAACGGAAAACATACACTGAGCACAGCCCATGTTAGACCAGAAAATCCACCACCATGGATGAAAAACAGCAACGGCCCTTCAACTCCACGTCGATAAATCCGAAAAGTCTGCCGCTAGAATTCTCACTGATAAAGCCAAAACTCACTCCCGATTCAAGCTCGATATCGTCACGAATGTTGAAGTATTCATTCCACCTTACAGGATCATAACAAGTCGCTTGTCCGTGATCACTGAATAGGATAGAAGAATTCAAAAGGTTCAGTTTAATAGGATGTTGGGGCAAAGAAACTCAAATATAAATGAGATCGCACATCAAAACCATCATGGCTACTTGAGCACATTGAACGCAACGGTTGACTGTGATACGATGGTTAAGATTTCAAGTGGGTCATAAATGTGAAGAAGCAAACATGGTTGAAGAGCAGGGACGAATAGTAGTTGAATGTTATAAAAACGAACGACTCTGTGTGATAAACATTTCAACAGGTTGAGCCAAAATGTAACAGGAGGCTTTTGAGACTCACACAAAAGACCGAAAACCCCAGCTCCGGAGCTTGAAAATTTTACCTACGTAAAACCTCAATAGAACAAACGCGCTTCTGCACCAAATTTTACTATTGCTATCCACAGGGCATCTAGTGCCATTTGGATAGATAAGTTTAATGGACAGTAAGGAAACCTTTTAAACTTCGATTACGAGCAGGAACACACTGTTCCGATTCTGGTAGTTTCTACAAGATTGGGTGTCATCTACCACGGCTCTGATACTTCATGGTCAAGAATTAGCTATCGAGGAATGTTTCCCATGATCATGTAGTTAGGTGACAAATGACGGCAGCATTGTGAATAAGGTAACTGCCCATATTTTCAAGGCACGCACAGTGTGAAAAGTCGCATCTACGCCAAAGGTGTTTTAATCATGCGTGTGCTACTCGAGCCTTGGAAATGCGGGCGGTTATCTCCTTTGCTGCACTACCGTCATTGGTCACGCAACTACCAAAGCAGTGAAAGTAATCCACGGTAACCAATTCCTGGCCATTAAGTTTCAAAGCAGGAGTAGGCGACCCCAGTCCTGCAGCATCACTACACTTTGAAGATGCAAAGCACACACCGAATGCATCAACCGCACATGTTGGTCTATCAAGTGCGCCTTGTGCGTCCTCCAAACATTCGAACGAACAGATGATGTCATCGGCGTACTCCAAATCTCAGGTTCTCTCCAACCACCCATTCAAAACCTACGATTTGAAGACCACTTAGTGCGCTCTCCAGTATGCCAGACCAAATTGAACAGGAACGGCGAAAGAGGGCACCCTTGACGAACACCGCTGCTGGTGAGGAATGGCCTACTTAGTTCGTTGTAAACCCTTACACGACCGGAGGTATGTGAGTACAGTGACCTCAGTAGGTTAACGTACTTCTGGGGCATTCCTTTTCGAAGAAAGGAGCCCATCAGAGCTTCGCGGTCAACTTAGTCGAAGGCTCCTTTCAGGTCAAGGAACACTGCGATCGTTGGTCGACGGTGAGTATGACGCAGCTCAAGGATCTGACGCAGCGTAAAAATTTGATCAATACATCCACGGCCAGGCCGGAATCCGGCCTGCTGTTCACGGATGTTGGTCTCTCTTAACGGCATCAGACGTCGAAGTATGACCAAAGCTAGCACTTTGGTGGCGATCGGTGGTTTTCGCAATCGTTGCGAGATCCTTTCTTGAAAATGGGAACGATCAGTGACTGGCCCCAAGATGAAGGAATGTGTTCTTGCGTCCAAATGTTGCACAGTTAAGTTGTAATAGAGCTTACGAGGTTATCATCTCGCATCTTGAAAAGAGTGCGAAGGAGCCAATCCGGTCCTGCTGCATTTCCTCGCTTCAGAGATTGAATGCAAGACCGAACATCCATTTATTCTGGAGGGTCGCATGTCACCGCCCATGGAGCTTCAGCTGCGGATGATGCAACCTGATTAGAGGCAGGCCAGGTGAACTGTTCGCTGAAGTACTCTGCCCAGCAATCAAGTCGTTGATCCCTATTGTGAATAGCTCGTCCCCTCTTATCGCACTGTTTCACTAACTGGAGTTCGCCGACCTCCCGTATTGCGTATCAGTCCGAACAATCTTTGACTATTCCCCGATGCAGCCGCTACTTCCATTTCACTGGCTATTGTTGCCCACCAGTTCTCGCGGTCCTTTTTGAGGCTCTTCGTGAGCCTATGTTGTAGCTGCCACCTAACTCTTTTTTGATCCTGGCAGGTCGAGATTTGACGTTTTTTATCCGTCAGGGCTACTGACTCATCAGATATGGAATTCCTCCGACGGGCTTGAGGCTCAGACTCACAAGCAACTCTCGCTGCGGAATGCATTGCTCGCCTAATCTGATCCCGCTGCTCGTTTAAATCATCACGTTGAGGTGTGTTTAGCTCACGCACTAGTTCTAACTTATACCGTGCACGAACGGCTGGGACAGATAGTCGATGATGAGCTATCCCAGTTTGCTGGTTTTTCGTCGACCAGTCAACCGAAGAGTGAACTGCATCAGAACTAATGCGTGGTCAGACTCAACGCAGGTGGTCCAATAGGACCTACAATTGTGCACTCAACCACGCCAACGGTAACTTACTGCTATGTGGTCGATTTGAGTTAGCGTACCAGTTGAACTGGAGCGCCACGTTGCTGTCCGTCCAGAGCTGTATCGAAAGTTGTTGCTTGCTAGGAACAGATGGTCTGCGCAGAACTGAAGAATTCGATCGCCGTTATCTGTTCGTTGGCTGAGAAGAGCACAACTTTCACCTAGGCAAGCTTCTGATGCTCAAAGTTTTTCAACCTGCGCGTTGAAGTCACTTGCAAGTACAACTATGTCGGAGCTTCGACTCATCCGAATGAGATCGATGAGTTTGTCGTAGAAGGCGTCCTGTTGGTTATCAGAACTGCATTTGGTCGGTGCATATGCTGATACGATAAACAAGCACCTTTTAGTGTTGCTTCCATTCCGGACGCTGATTGAACCCTGGGGATGCACTGCACATAAACGACTGTTGACGGGGATCCAATCGATTAGAGAGGACTCCGCCCTGTTGCTGAGTACAATACCTACCCCACGTTGACTTACTGAACGAGCTTCATTGTTGCCTGATGTGAGAAGAATGTCTGGATCTTATAGGTCCNTGAGTTTGTCGTAGAAGGCGTCCTGTTGGTTATCAGAACTGCATTTGGTCGGTGCATATGCTGATACGATAAACAAGCACCTTTTAGTGTTGCTTCCATTCCGGACGCTGATTGAACCCTGGGGATGCACTGCACATAAACGACTGTTGACGGGGATCCAATCGATTAGAGAGGACTCCGCCCTGTTGCTGAGTACAATACCTACCCCACGTTGACTTACTGAACGAGCTTCATTGTCGCCTGATGTGCGAAGTACGTATCTCGTCGACAAATCTGGCGCGCTGAAGTGGCTTAAAGTAGTAGGATCCTGGATCCGAGTTTCCGACACGTGGCAAATATCGATTCCCAAGGAGTGCATTGTACGAGCCAGACAAGCTTGTTGTCCTAGCTGCATCAAAGTCCTCACGTTGAAGGCCCCCAGATTCAGTGATTGACGAGGCTTTAGAATCTGCCATTCATTCCCTGGATTACAGCTTTCTCTGTCTCTACACTTTTCTACCCACCAATTCTCGCGGTCATTCCTCAGACTCTTAATGAGCTGGCGTGCTGTGTCCAATGTGGCATCAGGAGGGTTCTGCGGGCGTCTAGCAGGGCAGCCGAGGTCGACGAGATCCATCGTTTGTGTTTGGAGCTTACGGCAGGGTCTGATGTGCGTAGGCTAAATGGTATTACTATTCCAGTGGTACTGCATTGCGTTATGCAATTTCATCTCCAAGTTGATATCGTTAAACCGTTCCACGACATCCTCCAGTAGGCCATTCCAGGGATTTGTCACTCTCCCTAAATGTCGATAAACCAAGGGCAAGCTATTAGACTGCAAATTCCGGAAAGGCAACACATGTCCCTTGGTGCGGTTGCTGTTAATAGTTCCCTCTGCCTTATGGATCAAACTTTCGAATTAAAGGCTTCGGTTATGGTTATCAAAGAATAAGCCCTCCGTAGGTTTGAGCTGCCGCGACGTATGTCGTGCCCTAAAGTCTTAGGCACCCATTGGTGAAAGCCTCCCATCTAATTATTCCTCTCAATCCCGAACAACCCCATATGTCTCCTGTCTACACCATCCATCGGAGATTACTCAGCTTTCTATCAAATAATCAGAAGTTATAGGATTTTTGGAGTCAAAATTCCCTTTTCACCGCGTTGAATGTCCGCACACTACCAGTTTCAGTTTGTACAGCCATTAACCATGTACTATCGTGCGCCGGTTTTGGTTGCTGTCTTTTGGCTGCCCATTTAGATATACATTAGGAGAAAACCAGGAAAGGTTGAAGATACGATCAAAAAGAAAATTCAGAACTTCAGTGGATCATTGTTGCAGATAAATTGACAAGATGCACGAACGCCATTGTTTACGACACTCAGCAACATCACTCAGTATCTCTAACCATCGGTTACGATCATCCCGAGGTCATTGTACAGGGAGTCTAACGGGACCTATAAGATCCAGACATTCTTCTCACATCAGGCAACAATGAAGCTCGTTCAGTAAGTCAACGTGGGGTAGGTATTGTACTCAGCAACAGGGCGGAGTCCTCTCTAATCGATTGGATCCCCGTCAACAGTCGTTTATGTGCAGTGCATCCCCAGGGTTCAATCAGCGTCCGGAATGGAAGCAACACTAAAAGGTGCTTGTTTATCGTATCAGCATATGCACCGACCAAATGCAGTTCTGATAACCAACAGGACGCCTTCTACGACAAACTCATCGATCTCATTC